CCTGACATGAGGAGTTTGTCAATGGCTCTCCCACCATTTCCCAAGTCGGACAGTACTGAGGGCTTCCTGAAAGATGCGCCACAGGAGGACAGTAAGTTATGATACCTTTGTGAGTATTTACTAGAGGTATAACTTGTTTTAAAGATGTTTTTTTGATTGGAATCTTCCCAAAAAAACAAAACAACAGAATAAATTAGTCTTAATGGTGAATTCAATGACATGAATGCTGTTTATTTAACTGCATTTGTGTTTGGCACTGCAGCTCCAAGGCCTTTAAACCCAACACCGTCTCAGTCTGCAAGGTAATAATGAGCAAATTATGTTTTGAACTGTTTCTCCTGTTTAATTTTTCACTCTGTGATTTAGCCACTTACAAAACTGTCGTCATCAGTGCTTAATGTGTGTTTTTCTTTTAGTCATTCAGCAAGAAGTAGCAGGGTGCTAGAAAAGAGACCCACCAACCCCACACCTCAGTCTGCTGGTTTGTTTCCAACCTTCTCATGTTTTATATTACTATTAATTCCTGGAAACATACAGACATGGAGCAGTATGATCAGTCAGAAACTGCACTCTGTGAGGACAGAAGCAGAATTTTATTTACATTTATTTAGATCGTTGAATCTCTGCCAGGACTTGATGGCTCAGTACAAAGACAAATAATACTGTATATGATTTACACTTCTATGCAAACTTGTGAATTATCCTGTGTGTGTCTGTGTGCGTGTACAGGTCCAGGTGAAAGCAGTTGGAGGGATTCTTCTAGGAAATGCAAGTCACCACAGTTAGATGTGAGTGGAAAGCCCAGACAGACACACACTACACACTACCATCCTCTGTCCTCGGCTCTAAATCGTGCAGTGCACCAGTACAAAATCATTTTTGTTTTTTGTTTTTTTGCCAAAAATGTGCTGGTCGAGTTTTTGTTTTGGGTGGTTCCCTAGTATTAAACTTTCTATTGGTTAATAGTATTACCACCTATAGGCTCAATGTTTATTAAGAGAAACTTTGAACTTACATTCCAATAGTTCATTTTTTGTTTGTTTGTTTGTTTGTGAAAAGTAAAATGGCCCTTGAAGTGACCTTTAGAGGATCTATACGTTTGTGCCATAATTATTTCATAACCTGAAGGATTTTTCTCCTCTCTCCATCATCAGTGGGATTTAGGAGTGAGCCTTTTTATCGCTGATATCCTATCAAATTGGGAGTGTTAAAGAAAGATGTTCCTATAATACCATTTGTACACATACTTTACCCTATATTTTTATCACGGTAGTATCAAGCTGCCAGTTTTTCATTGTTAACTTTTCTTTGTCTATGTCCTCTGTTGAAGCTCCTGCAGGCGGAGGAGCAAGTGAGGAGGAAGTGTCAAACAGGTGCCATTATGAAGTGCT